ATTCCTTCCAACCGAAAAGCATTTGCTTGCATTACTTACATATACATATGTACATATGTTTGTACGCTGTATGCATGATGTGACCAACTTTTTCATAGCTCAAAGAAGTACAGCTTAGGTTGGGTTAAGTTAACGCCGTGAGCCGATTACAAAAATTCGAATGCGGCTAATTTCGATCCCTGAGCCTCGTGAAGGTTGGACTGTCTAAAAGAAAGTGTGGATATGATTCCACTTCATCTTATTCTTGACAGCTGATACAAAAGTGTCTGTCGAAATTCCTAGTCTCACCGCATCAATACCAATCGCACAATTGCCTGTCAGAACCTTCATCACTAGCCTTTGAGAGGTAACTTTCTTTAAAATGCTATATAAAAACATTTTTAGCAGACAAATATATTCATTTCCATTTTTTATGTCACAAAAGGACCCAGTTTCACTTAGCCTAATAGCAGTTCATGCTGCGGCAATTCTGTCTGCAATATCTGCACGCGCCGTGTTCAACATATATATGTTAAGCACGCCAGTGTAGGCGTGGTTCCTAATGCTCCGCTAATTCCTGTTTTAAAAGTGCAGCCTTCTCTAGTGAGCTGCACCACAAGGGCTCCTTAAACAGCATAGGCTTAAATCTGGTTTCCTAGAGCTAATGAATTAATTTGGGCGAGAGACCCAACCTTTTACCGATAGCTCCCCTGCAACAGTACGAGGCAACTGACACCTTTCCTACCCTTTCCCCAATGTTAGGCTTCCACGACAGCCGCCTTTGATCGCCCACTTAGTTACCTGGTTCATGTAGCCTTAAGCCAGATCAAAAAGGGTGTATAGAAATCGCCTCTTAACCAAAAGTTCCACATCATCTACATAGGCGTTCACCCGATAGCCCACTTTTTCCAGTTCCTATAGAACTGCAATTCAGAGCAGGGGAGAGAAAACACCACCTTGTGGAGTGCTCCTATTGACTCTTCACTTAGGGCAGACGCTCATCCACTCCGCCGCGATAGTTCTGTCACGAAGTACGCTGTAGATAAGCCTTATTAGGTTGCTTTCAACCCCCATATTATGAATATACTCGACTATTGCCTTTGGAGTGACATTGTTGAAGGCCCTCTCGATATCGAAGAAGGCCCCTACTGCGTAGTTTTCATGCGTGAAGGCTTCTTCTGACCACTTTACCAATGTGTGCAGGGTGGTATTCACCGACATTTTCTTGCAATAAGCATATTGAGCTCTTGAAAGACAGTCACGCAGGATCGCATTTCTTATGTACAGATCTATCAGTCTCTCTAGCGTTTTAAGCAAAAACTTTTTCAGCAAAAACGAAAAGACTGATAAGCCTAAAATCCCTAGGGGAAATATGAGAGCCTTTTCCTGCCTTCGGGATGAACGCAACACTGACTACCCTTCAAGCCTTTGGATGTACCCGATTCTCACGCAGTTCGTATAATTAGGATCCAACTAATTGAACGACACCGTCAGAGCCCTTTGCAGCTGCGCAGGTATGATGCCATCGGTCCATCGCGCGACTTTAATGGTTTGAACGAATTTATCGCCCAGGCCATGTGATGATCGTCCAGAAGATCGGAGAAGTACAGGATCTGGGGAGAGATTCTATAACCAGTTAGCGACAATTTTCGAATTACTATCGCCCTTTTTGATGCAAAAACATTTATATCATGAGTAAAAAAGTGCGACAGCGATCCGAAAATAGTCGCTAACTGGTTACAGAATCTCCCTTCTGAAGTACAAAATATCGCAAAGAAGTACATTGGGCTGTACTTCGAAGTATGAAGTACAAGATCAAAAAAAGAAGTACTGTACTTCCGAAAGAAGTACGGTTGGTCACATTATGTATGCATAACAAAATGCATACCCAAAACAAACGCGAAAAATATCTCCCATACAACGTCGTTGAAAATTTTTCGCGAAAAGTTTATCGCGATAAGCTGTTGTGAGTGATCGCGAATGGATTATTTGCATCGTTTTTCTTATTTATGAGAGGCCGACAAATGCAATGCTCAGACTTCTCATATTCGAGTGAAAGGAAATTTCTTTGCTTTTTTCGATCGCGAATGAAAAGCAGCGAAAATTTTTTTTGTCGATCGCATTCCGAATGTGAGAGATGATAAATTTGTTGTATTTTTCACTCGCGATAAAAGAATGCAAAAATAGACTTGGAATATTATCGATCGCGATAAATCTCGTAAAAGAATGAAAACGAATAATCATAAATGAGAATTTCCGAACCCTGAGAAAAAGTAGCAATTTTAAAGAAAACGTATTCTCCTGTTCCAGTTAATAAATGTTACATAACAAAAACTTGTTGAAAAAAATTTTATGGTTCTCCAAAAACAACAAAAAAAATACACAAAAAAAATTTTGAAATGTTATAAAAAAAATGTTCACCAAAATAAATATTTTTTTGGGTTTTAGTAAAAATTGGTTGACAAATGAAATCTGCGGTGCATTATGAACATTAAATTTTAATTTTGAACCACTCTGTGCTGGCTTCGTCGTACAGTATGAATTATGGTAAACGCATTTTGGTAGCAAAGGATGGCGAAGTCCTTGAAAAGGATTTGGCTTAATTTTTCGCTACAGCAGGGGAACTTGTACAATTAAATAATATAATTAACTGGTAAATAATATGGTCACCGTAACTATAAGTGACCATCAAGTCAAGGTGCAGGGATTGTATTTTTAGGAACAGTGTTCGAGACTTCTAGCTTTAATTTAAGCCTAATATCGCATTTTGTTTCTTTGCTAGAGCTTCTAAAATATTGCAAGAAAACGCGATTTTGTTACACTTTGACCTAGTTTTTCTCAAAATCTTTATCATTTGCCGCAACAAAATTGTTTCCTATTTTTGTTCCCTTGTGTAATATATGTATACGAATGAAGAGTACATCAAGTATCACTTAATTTTAATTTTTAGCAAACGGATCGCTACTGCAGCGATTGTGATATAAGATTCAATAATGTTAAGACATATCGCGCGCATAAGATGCATTATTGCAGTTCACGCCGTACTGAGGGGTAAGAAATAAACATAGAAAAATCTGACTGGAAATATTTGGTACTAAGTTTTCATTTCAATGTAGACCACTAACGCCTAAGGTTGAAGTTAGCACAGCTAATGCCATTAAAGCGTCAGTAGGTACAGCGAGCATCAGTCCACAGTTGCGGGCAAAAACACCCACATCTGCTATGGTTGCAGTTGCTGCGGCCGCGGCTGCCGCCGCATCGTTACCAACACCAACGCCGCAACCGTTTCTAGCATTGCCCACCAATCCAGTATTGATAATACCCTGCTCACTTATACGTGCAGCAAGTTGGATACCGGGACCTCTGTAAGTAGGGAAAAGTAGTATTTTAAACGTTATGGGTGCAATTTTACACATTTTAATGCATTCCTCATCATTAAATATTTTTAGCACTTCACCATTGGCAGCACTTCCAAACCCCGACGGCACCTGTTACATGCTGGATAACGGAGATTTAAAACCTCTAGCCACGGCTTTAAATATAAGGGCGTTTAATTCCAACGCTACAATAACTGATACTATCCTTGGCTCGCCCGCAGCAGTGCCGTTCAACCTTAACACCCCACACATACCCACTGTCGAAACATCACCAGCTTGTCAACCTTCGTTAGTTAGCACGAATGAGCCTCTACTTCCTGAAAAGAATGCTGGGCGTAACGTGGAGAGGAGTGAGGCATTAACGCCAAATCGAAGAGAAGGTGCACGGTAAGGTCCTAGAAATTTTTTAATTCACGTTATCTTTAACAGCTGTTTATGTATACACACCAGAGATGGGGCGCGGGATATCGGGACCCGCGGTAGCCACGGTACTGATTTTAAAAAGGCCGGGATGGGCGAAATCGGGAAGATGCGTAAAAATGTAAGAGCGGCACTCTCGAAATTCAGAAAATCTTACTTAAAAAATATGAAGTCAGCACTATTTAATTTTATATTGAAACCAAAACGGACGGCAAGCAAACCCAAATAACTAGAAGAGCTAAATCTTTCAGTATGGCGAAAGTAGACAAATAGATTCAGGTATTTTAACATTTGTGGAACTATGATTATAAAAAAGCTTTTAATAACGTTGAATGCTGTTGTATAGTGTGTCTAAATAGTAAACCTTTCCCCTTGATCGTTGTTCATCAGCTTAGCAGCCCTATTCGTGTGTTGTCACAGTTAACTTGTCATTGTCGTCTCATCAACTGTAGTCGAATATTACTCCAAAATAAAAGTCCTTTCCAGATAACCAACAAACCGCTTATTAAAATTAAACAACGGCCTTGCCACTTTTAAAATATTTATACCAATTTAATATAAGTTCAAATCAAAATTATCAGAGCTTGATATTTTTTTACTAACGTTGTTTGCACCTTTTTTATTAAACACATACAAAATGTAAACTCTTAAAGGACACTTCGTCATAACTGTTGTTTTTATTTTATAATAAAAATCACGAGCGCATTATGTTTTTTTTTTTTTTATTTTCTTATGCGATTTTAAAATTTAATTGTAAAGAATGTTCTTCCAAAATAACACGTATTTATAATATGTATTTTGGTGCTAATTTTTGTTTGTACTTTTGAACTTCTCATCAGATTTTGCGAAAAATTACGCTTTGTGGTTAGCGTATCACCACTAACTTAAACAAATTTTGAATTTAAAAATTCCAATGTATACAAAAAACTTGAATTCGGCTTGTACAGACCACCCTTCCGATAAGCAATTAGCATAAGTATAATTTTGATCACTTTCTTCATTCGTTCTGAAATCTACCCAGTAAGAACCCTATCTGTTAACTAATGCATTACATGCGCTTAGTACTACAAAAACTTTATGTGAGAAATTCAAAAACATTCCATCATTTTACATAGGGCTCCTGGAGAAATCTAATACCATGTTCGGACCGGCAACGAAAACACTTTGAAACGAGTTTTGGGATTGTGGGCTGTAAGCTGTTCGAACCGGCTGTTAGTGTTTTCGTTGACATTTCTTTCATCCTTTGTTTACAGTTCTGTTACCTAAAAATTGTTCTGTTATATTACGTTCAAATCGGCCCCATTTAACTTGTTAAATGAAAAAGAGCTTTTTGGAAAACACAATCGTTCACATTGAACATTTGGAGTTAACTTTGACGGTTGTTTGATTACCAATAAAAATTCGAAAAACACTTTTGAAAATCAAGTTTTCGTGCTTCAATTTGTTTTGTGCGAATGTCTGCTTAATTTTTAATATTTTTCAGAATATAATTTTTTTTGGACGTCGGCGTGTCAAATGAAAGCTTTTGTGTCTTTCTGATTGGCCGGAGCAGAAAGCTTTCTGATACAACACTGCGCTGAACCGGTTTTCAAACGAATTAAATGATTTAACTGGTTCAATTTTCCAACAACAATTGCATGCGATTTAACTTGTTTATGAACATGTTTTGTTCATTTAACTAGTTCAAGCCCATTTAACATGTTTAGCTCGTCAATTTGAACATAGTATTAGGTAGAAGTGATTTCGACAATTCTTTCTTTTGAACTTCGACTGAAATGTTAACTCTTAATTTTTTAATTAAAATTTTCAATTGTGAGCTGTGCGACTGATTTGAAATACACAATAAAATGAAAGGGAATTACGAGCGGTGTGCTGTATGTGGCAAGAGCCAGGACAACAAACTTTATTGGCAAGTGAAGCGACAACGGTGGACAAATAGGTGCGGTCTTTCATTAGAAGACTATTCGCGTGCGCTCGAGAACCATCTTAGTGCCAGTGACTTTATGTTTGTTGCCCATCGCAACTGAGTACTTCTAAGCGGACGCGTTTGTTCCCAGTTGCAGTACCTCTACCATGCGATTCTCCAATGCTTGAATTATCTGAGGTGTCTGTGGGGACGAAGTTAGATGTTGATGATGCACATTTGGACAACTGTCAGTACAATTCACCTGATTTACATTACATTGATTTAAGTTTTTGATCTAGATACAAAACTGCTATACCTTCGACTATATTTTTACCTATTCTATCACAGTGTTCGCGGAGCATTTGCCCTGAAGGAAAGATTTGGATCATGATAGAATTTGGTACATATATAACAAAGGGTTAATTTCTTTGTTTAAATTTTTTGACATTACAGTCAGCTATGAGAGAGCTCGACTGAGTTGTCACTCCTAACTTGTTGAATATACCTTGCATATATCGATGGCTGAGTAGAAGATCGACCTATCTCGGCAGCTAGTTCAAAAACGCCCTATCTCAGAAAACTTTTCAAGAACGCCATACTTCAGAACTTGATTGAAAAACGCCTTATTTCAGAATTGTATTGAAAACCACCCTATCTCAAACGAAAATACATTGAAAATAAGCCAGAATTTTACTTTAAGGGTACTCATCGATTCGCGCAAGTTTTATATTTGGGCAATTAGGCAACTTTACGCAGTGTGTTTCATGAGGACAATTTTATATTCTGTGCAATTTCACACATTTAATTATTTGACAATGTTAATTTAAAAAGTTGAACAATTGAAACTCGAATTTAAGAAAATATTTAAGTCTTACGAAAAAGCGTTGAGCACAATTCAAAATGAAAGTAAACAAAATAGTTAATTGAGGGTTGCACATCACACTGCGCAAATTTGCGCGACAAAGGCTGGCTTCCAAAACGTATCAATACAATGTTTGGAAACTGTTATACTGCGGTATTCAAACTGTTTGTATATGCAGAGTTGCGACACATTGCAACCATATACATTGCATATTTTAAATACTCAGTATGCCAATGAACAATTTTTATGAATTTTCCATTTTTAAAACACCAATGGTAACCAATAACAAACGAAGCATCAACTTTGTTTCTGATGCGCTGATTGCGCTAGCGATGTGTTTCGATACATTTTCGGATGCGTTTTGGAAAAGTATACATCGTCAACATTTTGTAGTTCGGCGTTATTGAACGTTATAACTACTTTGTACCTATGCAAAGCAATTGACGTTTTGGAAGTCAGCCAAAATTTCCGCGCAAACTTGCCCTTTTTGTGCAAATAGCTTTCAATACAAATTTTGACATTTCATTTGCGAGGGGTTTAAATTGCGCAGTTTGCCCAGTTTGCGAGAGTTTTGCGCTTTTAAATGAGTACCCTTTTTATTTCTGGAAATTAATGGCCGGTCATGAATTGTTTACACTTTTTCACTCATACAGCATGCATACTCCATGAATGCATACATTTATAAAGTTTATAAATAAACACCCAGTAGAAATTGGGTGTATTCATTCATGAATTATGCATGCTGTATGAGTAAAAAAGTGTAACTGTCTAACCAGAATAATGAGGCTGTAGTATGTAGCAAGAGCTGTCAAAAGTTAAAATATTCTAAATGCTCTAAGCTGCCCACAATATGTAGCTTTGTTTATGGTGTATTATTGCTTATCTAGCTGATGTAGCTAGCGAAATAGTTTGTGGCTGTGGTACTACATTCTGTTTAGCCAGTAAATATTTCATGAGCGGCCATCTTATCTTATAAATATTATAAATGTGAAAGTTTGTATGTTTGGATGTTTGGGAAATCATCACGCGGAAACGACTGAACGGATTTGCATGAAATTTTGTACGCAGATAGCTTGTCGGCCAGATTGGTTAATAGGCTATTTTTTTAAGAGTTGCCACCTGTTAAAAAAAGTTTCATTTATTTATTATGCGGGAACGACTGAATGGATTTGCATGAAAATTTGCACGCAGATAGCTTATAACCTAGATTGGAAAATAGGCTACTTTTCTTAAGAGTTGCCACCTGTTAAAAAAGTTTCATTAAATTAATACGCAGAAACGATAGAATGGATTTGCATGAAATTTTGCAAGCAGATAGCTTATGACCTAGGTTAGAAAGTAGGCTACTTTTTTTAAGAGTTTCCACCTGTTAGAAATGTTTAATTTAATTAATACGCGGAAATGAGTGA